CCCTTTTCTTTTTTATTGCCGGGCTTCCCAGACGTGAAGACCTTGCCCGACCCCTTCTACGATGTCTGAGGCCAGTTTTGCTTTTTGGTGGGGGCGCATGTTTTGTCCTCACCACCCGGACCAACAAAAGAAAAAACAAGACGGAGCATTTGGACGTCCCGATTTCGAAAGGCCTGCACGAGGATGGGGGGTACATTGTTCTTGATTGTTGTAAATGTAGCGTGACACAAAAATAACGTTCTCGTAACAGGGTATGTACAAGAGATATGTGATTAATGTGTAAAGGCGAAACGCGGGTCAAGTGCCCGACGAGGGAGGTTGTCAAAGCCGCAACTCCGCGGCAGTCCCATCTTTTTCCCTTCTTGTCATCCTCTCTATCGTGCTTCCTCGCCGCTCAACTGGGTTTGTTGCAAAAAAGGGATTCCTTTGACTGTTTTTACAGCACGGCAGCGACGACGCCGGCGACGGCGAGCAGCAGACCGCCAGTGTGGCGGGCCAGCTGAGCGACGCCGACGTTGGGCGAGCCGGTCTCGTCCGTGTTCTGGACGAAAGTGCCGGTGGCGGACTGGCCGCCGGTCGTGGCTGGGCTGTCGGTCGCGTCGGCGGTGGTAGCGGACGGGGTACGGGTGGCCGTCGTGGTCTTGTCCGTGGCGGTGGCAGCGTGACGGGCGGCGGTGCCGTAGAGAGAGGCGTTCTGGCAGTTGACGGTCACCTGGGAGCGGTAGGTCGCGCCGCGCGTGTCCTTGGGGCAGTTGTTGAAGCACGTGGAGATGGCCTCGGAGGCAGCGCACATGCACTCGTAGTCGAGGGCGGTGCAGGCTTCGAGCTGTTGGGAGGGCGTGGGCGGTTAGCTTTTGCCCTTCTCTGCGTGACGAAGAACGAGTACGCTGAGAGGGGCAGGTGTCTCACCTTCTTCATCTCGCTGCCGAGGCAGGTATCGACAATGTAGTTTGCCTCGCAGTTGGGGTCCTGGGCCGTGACGGCAGTGGCAGCGAGGAGGACGAAGGGGATGAAGAACTTCATTGTGGATAGCGGGAGGGGGGTTGAGCGGGTGGAGGGTTTATGGTATTAGGTATTAGTGAGTGGTTTGATAACGAAAGTAAGCGTCCCGAGGGATCAGCGAGTGGAAGAGGGTGAGTTTGAGGATGTGGAGATGGAAGATGGAGGATCAGAGGTGAAGGTAAGAATGGTGGGAGGGTGGACGGGCAGGATGTGATATATCATTGAGGAGGCTTGTCACGGCGCACGGATCGGATGGACAGGGTCATTGGCGATGGGGTCAATAGTGGCGCTACCTGGCGACGTTGAACCCGGGGATCAAAGTCAAACATGTGGTAAGAAAAAGGCCGAGAGTCGAACTCCGACCAAGTCACACACGCTCTCCCCTTCACGCAAGGGGGGCGCGTGTGATGAACATTACTGGGCGGCACGCGGAGACATCGTCTCGGGAGAGAAAGCAAAGAGTGGCGGCTCGTCTGTGGGGATTCAGGAGGAGAAGATGAGGCTTGTGAGGCGTGTGAGGCTTGCAAATGGCCTGGCGCCGTGTGATTGTGGTGTCTTGTCTGGATTGAGGAGTGGAATGGTGGACGGCACAATCTCGTTACCGTGGAGAGGAGATCCGGGGAATCACGAGTGGCATGTGTAAGCCCTCTGCGGCCATGAACTATTCTTGCCGTAGGATGATGCACCACATTCAGCCTGCAGCCCGTCTTGTTTCACTGCATAGCGGTGCTAGTTGGTCGAAGCCTTGAGAGTTGAGCCGGGAGACGGATGGGGTCCGAGGGAGATGAAGTTAACTTTTAGGCGTGAGCCGTCCTTCATCTTGCCGTTGTTCTCGCTTGCCCCATGCCCGGGGTTCAGGGGTCATGGCTCGAGTGCACAGGGCGCTTGTGATTCGCCCATGAGGTCCGGGTAGATCTCTTTTGCTTTCTTGATTCCAGTCCGGGCTGGGATCGGGGGCCTGGGTCTAGACCTGCACTGCGCCGGGTCGGATCCGATGGGGATAACGAGGGGAGACCAGCAACGGCCCAAGTGACTGTAGATGGGTATTTCATGTATAGGTGTCAAGTGCCGGGAAATGGTTGCCTTGCCCTCGTCAACGGGACAATATTCATGCTGTGAAGGCGCTCTGAAAAGCACCCGTGTTGTCAATCTCGTCCTTGGATGGGTTCCAGAGATTATAGTCTCTGTCTGGCCATCGTGCCCGAGACATCCTTCGTTTTTCTCGACATATTCTCCCTGATCGCCCGAGCCAGGCGATTGATCAACCGACGTTCTGTCACATGCCGCTTTCACTGCGACCATCAATGGCGGCAGCCTGTCTGTACTTTGTAGGCCCCCAATCGATGGAATACGAGGCCTTGTGCGACAGCCACGCAACGCGCCAGAGACAACCCCTCATCCACCCTCTCTTATCTTTAATTGAGGCGACTCAGCCGTGGCTCACACTTGATGCCTTTCCTTCAACAGGGTGTTCTCCATTCGCAGTTTGTCGAGTTCATTGGCCATGCTCTCTATACGCTCGGCAGCGCCCATGCTCATCTCCTCGAGCATCTTGGCAAAGCGGAAGAGGCGGAACACAATGACCAGTGATGCAATGTCTTCGACGATGCCGTGGGACAGTAGGTCGACGACGAAGCTCGTAACGATGACTACCGCGTCGAGGCAGTGGAACCAGTCTTTGAGATACCCGGTTTGATGGTCAACCACATGGTGGCTTCGCGGACCTTGCGCCACAACATTGTCACGACATGATGTGCACGGGACAACGGCAATAGCTGGAGAGGATCATCACTCACTTAAGCCCGAAAGCCACTATGCAGAAGACCAACTCGAGCAGGAACAGGCTGCTGAACACCAGTCCAGCCGTCGTGAGGGCTTGGCGCGCGTTGCCTGTCCATGCCGGCCTCTGGAGCTTCTCGTTGCGGCGGTCGCATTCCACCAGCTCGATGAAGATGTTCGCGAGCAAGGCCGCCACGTCCAGCGCGACGAGTATAAGCACAACCATGTGCTTCCTCCTCGATGAAAGAAGCTGCGGAAGCTGGGCTCGCTGCTGAGGTTCGTGTAAGGCTGCTTCTGGCAGTCCTTGTTCGGGATGCTCGTTGATGGTATCGCCCAGAAGGGGCAGCTGCGTGTCGTCTGTCCGAGGCATTCTATTTGCTGCGTCGTCTCATGCTCCGGGAATGCATCATGTTGGATATTCTCGAAGTTACGTTCGTCAATTTGGATGAAATGTCTGACATGTTCACTGGGTGTTGGCTTCATTGATCCTTCCTCACCTTGAAGGGTTGGAATTCC